CCAGCGGCACCGCAATTGTCGTTAGACGCGCTTCTCTTCCCTCTGCTGTCGTCGCGCTTCGCGACGCAGCACGACTGCCGCGAGCCGCTTGATTTGTTCGCGCCCAAGCGGCTCGTCAATGTCTAATAGCGCCGCCGCCCTGTCGCTCGTCCTCACCGCCTCCTTCTCGTCCGACACGCTCGAGCAGACGGACGCGTTTGGCCCCGCCGAGTCACCGGTGGGAATGATGCCGAAGCTGCCGCCGTCGCTACTGCAGCTGGCGCCGTCGGGGCTCTTGCTGATGTTATTCGCGTTGGACGCCGTGCTGTGCGGCAACTTAACGCGCGTGTTGCCAGGGGGCAAAACGGCGCCCATCGCGTTGGGCGCGACGCTCGGCCCACCGCGGCTCACTGCCTCGTCGGCGAGGGACATTATCTTCTGCTCCAGCAGCTGCAGGTGCGTGACGAGGTTCTCGGGCTCCGTCGGCGGCACCCGCACGTCCATGCGGTACCCGGCGACGCTGTCGGCCAGCACGTCGACGCGCCGCATCACCTCCGCGAGCACCTGCTGCAGCGCCGCGCTCTTCTCCACCGCGTCTTCGCGCTGCCGCGACGCGTCGTCAATGCATGTCACGAGCTCCTCGCGCAGGCACGCTGACGCGGGCGTTGGGCCGGCACCGCAATACGTGTGGCGCTCCACCTCCTCCTTGAGCCGCCGCACCTCCTCCCGCAGCGCGTCGAGGTGCTGCTGTTCGCCGCGCTCCTGCTCCTGCAGCTGCAGCCGCGTGGCGTACTCCAGCTCGTACTTGGTGACCAGCTCGTCGAGCGTCGACGCCCCGGTGGCGTGCATCATGTTGCGGAACGCCTCCTCGTAGGCGCGCACGCGTTCCTCGTCCTCCGGTGTCCCGCCAAACGAAAGCGCACAGCCGTCTTCTTGCTCTTCTTGCTTCGGTTGGGTTACTAGGAGCCGCTCCAACGCACTCAACGAACGCTGCCGCCGCTGCCGCAGCGTCTGCTGCTCCGTCTCCGCCTCCTCAATACGCTGCTGCTCGTCCTCCATCTCCTGGCGTAGCTCCACCTCCAGCTGCTCGAGCCGCCGCGTCTCTCGCAGGGCTCGCTCAACGTGCTCGCGCCGCTCGGTGAGCGCCTTGTCCTTCATGCGCCGCACCTGATGGAATGAATCGGTGAAATTGCGAAGTTCCTCCTCCACACGTTGGTAGTCAGCCGTGGCGTTGTTGTACATCTGCACGAGCCGCGCGTACTCCTGGTGGCGTGCGTCCACATCTCGCTGCAGCGCGAGCACGCGCGCCTCCCTGTTGATGCCCTCCTCTTGCAACTGCTGCAGTATCTCCGCGTAGCCACCCTTGACAGTGGCGATGCATTGCTGCTCCGCCAGCATCTTGTCGAGTCGCTTCTCTAACTTCTGGATGCGCAGCGCGACGCTGCGGCTACCGGCGACCGCTTCACGCGGCGGTGTGAAGACCGAGTCCTCGTTGAGCCGCTGCGTCGCCTCCGCGTCGCCAATGTTGCGCTGCACCTTCTCGAGCTGGTGCGTCAGTCGGTTGAGGCGCCGCACCGCGAGGAACTTGCGCTGCTCCAGCTGCTCCATCTCTGTCTCGGTCACGTCGCCGGCGGAGGCGCGAATGGTGCGGAGGTGCGTGTTCTCATCGTGCAGCTGCCGGATTGCACGCCTGTTGGCGGCGAGGCGCTGCTGGTACTCGCGCTCTAGCTTGGCGTGCTGCGCGCCCATCTCGCTGAGGCGCTGGGTGTAGAAGGACACCTCGTCCTGGGGCGTGTCCTGCACAACGGCGCGTCGCACGCCTGCGCTGCCGCCACGCTTCGGCTGCTGCTGCTGCTGCTGTTTGGGCTCCGCACGAAACCCATTCGTTGCGCTGTGCCGACGCTGCATTGCGAGTCGTGGTCTCCGTGTCCCAATCGATCTTCTCTTCTAGATGTGCAGAGTGGTGCGTGTGCCCGTTTTATATACGTACAAAGGCACCTATATATATATATATATATAGATGTATTAATGTGTGTGTGTGTGTGTGTCACTTGTCGTATCAACAGGTATGCAGGCACACACACATACAGGCACCTTTGCGCCACTCAAGGATGCCAGCGAGGAGGAGAACAGGGGAAACGAAGCCAAGAATATCAAAAAAGGGAAACCACACGCCGATTCACATTGAAGGCATCAACTCCTCAAGAGAGAGAGAGAGAGAGAGAGAGAGATAGAGGTAGGGTTCTCGCCGACGCCGCACAGATATGTCTACGCGTGTGGCAGATTAATCCATTAGTCCATTCCCCCCACCCACCACCGAAAAGAAACAAAAAAAAAAATTATTTACAATCCGCGCAGCCCGTTCCGCAGTCTTCGGCACGCCTCCCACGTGCAGCCACACTGGAAACAGCACACACCGAAGGATCGTTTTACGACAAGGTCCACCTGCGGTAAGACATAGATATATAAGCAACAACAACAACAGCAACAACAACGGATCAACATGTCATGACGGTGCTCCTCTGAGTGGCACCACGACACCCTATACTTATACACATACTTACACCTCGCGTCCGTCCCCTTTGAACATTTATTGTGGGGCCCATGTTGCCACTTTGCTAGGTGCAAGCCTCTCAACCCGCTCGGAGTGGCACAGCGCAGCGGTGCAGCGGCCATACATGCCCTCCATCACCACTACGCAGTACACAAAACCGTCCTGGTGCACACACCTGCACGCCTCGGTGAGGGTGACGGTGTCGAGCGGCGTCACCATCGATAAGCCACCTACCGCACCCTCCTCTCCTCCTTCTTCAGTGCCTGACTGATGTTGCTGCTGATGCCGCTGCTCTTCAAAGAAAACTGCCAGGGGAGCACGTCCGTCGAGGTGGTAGCGGTGGCGAATACGCATCTTGAGCTGCCCGACGGTTGCATCAGAGCGGAGCGCGAATACACCAGGGAGAATGCACACACCACTCTCTTCGTCACGCTGCATGTATGGGTGGAGAAGTGCGAGAACTACGGCCTCCGCGAGCATCTGCTCTGCCGCTGCGGAGTCACTCGCGCTGCCGCTTTTGCTACAGGAGCACATGACGTTCCCTGGCGTAGAGGCATCGGGAAGATGTCGCCTTGCCCGCAGCGCGGCCTGCGCCGAGAGCGACGCCAGCACCTCCGGCGCCGGCTCACACACGAGCAGAACACACGGCGCCACTGCCTTCTCGCTGCTGGACTGCAGCAGCTCCCTCAGCTTTCCCGCAATCTCCTGTCGCGTGTGTAGCGTCAAGGTGCCCCACACTGAGGTGGCGTAATATTGCCATGCTAGATGCTGCTGCTGAGGCTGTGACTGCTGGGATCCCATTGCAGGCTGCTTGCGGCTAATCGGAGAGGGAAAAAAAAAACACCTCTTGTTTTTTTCTGTGTCTTTCTAATCTCCCTGTGTGATTCCTCCTTCCTCTTATTTCATGGTACGCACAGCGAAGAAGGGGAACGGAGTGCACACCCGTGGTTGGCGCAACAAACAGATGCCACAAACGCCCCTGCCAATGTAATCACTTTTTTTTGTCTTGTTTCCTTTGTTCTTCCTTGGAAACTGCAACTGGAACGACGCACCACACTCAGCCCACATCCATCGTGGATGTAGGGAAATGCGCCTTGGCCACGGCGATTTGTTCATCCCCAATCTGCTCGTTCCTGCCGCGCCAAAACGACAGGAAGCACGGCGGGGCGTCGCCCACCACGGTGAAGAGCCGCCGCGCCTCCTGCAGCAGCTCGCCCAGTGCGCGCAGCAGGCCGCCGCGTCGCTCATTGCCGTGCGCGTCGAAGACAGCCCAGTAGCGCACTG